TTGTTGTTGTTGTTGTTGTAGTTGTTGTTGTTGTTGATGATGATGATGTTGTTTTTTGCTTTGTTCCGTCTATTTATAGATCTATTGGTTCTTTTTTATTGTAGGGAACGAGGGGAGGGATTTGGGATAGCATTCTGTTGGGGGTTTTTTTGGGTTTGTTTTTGTGTTTTTAAAAAAAAATTGATGTTTGGTTTGTGTGATGCACGTTTGCTTGTGAGTACCGTTGCTCACTACAACCACGGAAATCACTTCTATCTCTCCAAACTCTACTGTGGGAGGTTGGTGGATGCTCCGGTGTGGTTTACTCCTTCTTTCCTACCAAGATTCTATCGTCCTTATCTCCCCTTAATCTTTTTTTTTTTTGGGGGGGGGGTGTTTATTACTCTCTTACTCTAATCATTTGTACTTAACGTGTTTCCAAGTGCCGTAAAACTCCTACTAAAACTAAAGTAAACCTAAACTAAACCCTGTGGGTGGTTGGCTAGTGCTCTGGTGTGGTTTGCTTCTTCTTTCCTATCGAACATCCATCGTCCTTATCTCCCCTTCTTCTTTTTATGTTTGTTACTCTTGTAACTCCTCTAATCTTCTGGCGCTCATATGACCTTATTATGTAGTTGCGAGCGCCGTAAAACCTCTACTAAAACGAACTAAACTAAACCCTACTGCCTCTCCCCTCAGTTAACGGCGGAGGCGGCAAATCTGTGCGCGAGTTCTTCAAAGAACGACGGCTCCTGGAGGCGAGTGGCGCGCCTGTGCCCCCGATCGACAACCATTACCGTCAAGCCAAAGGCTACTCCTCCCCAGGAGGCTGGTCAAGCAGAACCGGCAGCGGGAACAGCATGAAGAAGGCGAGCGCCGGCCGAGACCGCTCCCAGCCCCTGGCGCCCATCCGGAGACCCATGGACACGCACGAGATGATGATGACCAACAACAACAGCAATGTGGCCGGGGGCATGAGGTCGGGGATCCCCCAACGCCAGCCGCAGGTTACCTCCAACGGTCAACACGCGGGCGGTCCGCGGAACGGCGTGCAGGACGAGAACGTTTTCAACGGGAGGCCGAAGCTGGTGAAACACAAGCCTTTGCCTCCCACCAACGGGAACCATCAACAGCACCAGCAGGAGGACTACCACAACAATGATGGCGATGCCGCGCCGGCCAGGCCCCCACAGCAGCCGTCCAACTTGCCAAAATTCAGCCCCCAGCACCGGAAACCAGCACCGCCGGGATACCAGCAGAGGGCGCTGCAACAACGACAACAACAACAACATCAGCAACATCAGCAGCA